GCAGTAGCAAACTTTGTGATAGCGGATTTCCAGAGCTACACAGTCTTTCCCCTGGATTTATATGAGTATCTGTTGATCATTCTTTCTCTCGGCAGCTGTACGTAGAAGACCAGCATCAATTGTTTCTGCCAACATGAGTGGGGTTCTTCTTCTCTTCTTAGTTGCCTGGTGTGAAACAAAATAAATTATTAAACTAAATATCTACTAATAACAAGGTTGGATGTTTGTAGCATAGAAACTACTTTACCCTAAGTAAACTTAATTGATCACAATTCAATATATTTTAAAACCAAACCTGAGAATGTTGTGCACATTGCGATAGTATTATACCTATCCAAATGACCATACCTTGTCTAGTGAGAACCACGAGGCGTCTCTTCCACAAATAATACATATCTCTGGGAGTACATGCGCGTTTCTTTTAGGCAGGGCCTTTATATTTATAGCTTCTGCGACTGATTGACGTGTAATTTTTCGCCTTGGTTCTATTGCCTCCACTTCCACGTGTGATTCTTCGGTAGAAGTTACAGTTTTACAGCTAGTTCCTTCTCCTTTTTCTTCTTTTCTCTGTTATCTACAGATCTTCTCTTCATCACAAAATCTCTTCCAGCATTTCATATGATGGTTCCATTCTATTAAAGTTAATGGTGTGACAGGGTTCTTCTCCATGTATGAATTGACAGATCCGTCATCGATGTTCTCGTACCGATTTCTTAGCTATATCAGCTTGTTGACATTTAAGTTTGGCCCATTTTGAACTACACTCAAGAAATTTCTTAAGCCTTTGGCGTGTAACTTTGCAAAGTTGCTCTGTAACGCCATCAAAATGCATAAAACATGAGGATATTCGAGTTTTATAAATATCTTCAGCCATGTTTATTTGCATAACTGAGCGTGTTTCCACCAGTGAACTCTAAAAATAACTGGAAGGCTAACTCCTATGATGAAAGTCTATGATTCGTTGAAGCCGGCGCGCGGGAAAATCAGCTTTCAAAAAGACTAAGGAGAGTTTCGAGGAGTGAAAAAAATTCTGCCAAAAGTTTGTTTTCGAGCAAAAATTTGCAAGAAAAACACTTTTTCCATGGGAATACAACGATTGGGATTTAAACCAGGTTTTCCGATTAGTTCCAACTGTTTTACATCTCTCTGCAGCAAAAAGTAAGGAGTTTTGCTTTTGTATTTTGAAAAAATGACGAAAGTTTGGACGTGCCGAAGGAAACCTCGCCGTTCAACTCAAAAATATATACTCTAAAACATTTTGACAGTCCCAAAATTTATGTTGTACTAAACCCTAGGTATTGTTATTGACCCTGAGCTTTTAGTCCTTGTTTTAGTCGCTTTTAAACATAAATAAATTGGCGTTTTTCAAGTGATGTTATTTTCGTCATCGGCATCTTGTTGGCCACTATGAGCATTTTGAATATGGCATATTTTTGTCAATTTTCAAATGCTTTTTTTTCGACCTTAAAACGTTCAATCTTCTTGAAACTTCGCATACAGATGTATTTTGCATGGGTTTAAATAATTCCTGAGGTATGGCGTTTTAGTTTTATCTTAAACTTCCAAAAACTCAGAAAAAGCAGCCTAAAACGCGCGGTTTTTCTGACCGTTCATGCTTATGGCCGTGTTTTTTCGTATTTATTTTGCTAATTCGTATTTGTTTGCTTTGCGAATATTAAATTCATTTATAATACTACTGATATAAATTAAATTTGGTAGTATAGCTAATATTTTGGGGCAAGATTTTTCTGATCGAAAAATGTGCATATTTTGAAAAAAAAATTTAAAAAGGACTGGGTCTACCTACAAAAAAGCTTCAAGCACGGCTTCAACTTCCCCCCCTGACTTAGCCTTCCAGTTATTTATAGTTCAATGGTTTCCACTTCGAAGCATGTGCGTTATGCGCATGCGCAGTGCGAGTTTGGGGGAGTTGCGCATGCGTATTTGCTATCAAAACAATGGCGGTTCGAATATTTCGAAGCGCGAAAATATCAAACTTTGGAGGGATTTTTCTCCCAAATGTGCACCTGTTTCGCTTGGGGAGCAACGGATTCTGATAAAGTAAGTTTTTATCTATTTATTCATGTGAAAATTACGTAGTTACACGAGGGGTGCAACGGAATCCGTTTTCTAAGCATCTTTTGGATGCTCATCCTACGGCCTATTAGTTTTACATATTGCCCACTTTGAGATCCCTTGACTGAAATGTAAATCAGGCTTTAAATTCCCAGCAATTCCTAGCTTATGAGGGGTTGGGGGTACACTGACTGATGCATAATTCTGTTCATACTTATTATATTTCAACAATATATACAACAACCCTCTTAACTATATACAATATTTACAAACAATGAAAATATACAGTAAACAGATCAAGTCTGTGGAGCATCGTGTGGACAATGTGATCGCAGGTGACCTTCATTGGTGCCTTGCACTTGCTACATTGTCTGGCTTTTCTCTTTGGCAGTGGGAGATTTCCTGTTGATTTCCGCTTTTCTGCCTCCAATAATGCTGTTTTTTCTGCAACTAAAAATAATTCATCAAATTATTATATAAGTTATATCAAAAGAATAATAATGTAATTTGTTGTCTGCTTTGTATATGATAATATTTGTGTTGGTGTTAACAATTGTTCGCCAAAGGTGAGGTGATTTATATCGGGGAATATTTGCAGAGACAAAGTTGAGGTGAATATTCCCCGACAATCACCAAGTCTGAGGCTTGTCAATGGAAAAGCTCAGCAGCTTAATGAGTTAAAAATTTTTTTTACCGAGACTTGTCTGCATCTGAAGCCGTGTTTACACTACAAGCCTAAGCCTGGCCTATAGGTTTGGACTAGATTTTGGTAGTGTCGACTTCGACCGCCAGTAGCCACTAGACCATGCACTTCGACTGCCACTAGACCAAGAAATCTGGGCCACCTTTCCTGATGGGCCCAGATTTCGTGGCCTAGGCCAGGCCGAAGTGCATTTACACCACAAAAATCTAGTCCAAAGGTAGGCCAGGCTTAGGCTTGTAGTGTAAACACAGCTTGAGAATTACCTAACTGGCGCCCAACATGGTGTGTTTACACCAGATACTGTACCTGGCTAAAGCCCTGAGACAAATCAAAATAGATCATTACATACACATAACATGAAGTAGTGACTTTGAAGAAGTAAATAAACATAGAAATTGGTCAGAAATTGCCAAATTGGCTTCAATTGACCTGTATTTAAACTATTAACCACTTGAAGGCAAACTCAATTTAACAACACATTCCAAATACTTTTATGTCTAGTTGACATCTACATATTAAACTATGAAAATGTAGCATGAGAGCCTTGCCTTACAAAGCTTTTATTTCATGTTGTTCACTTGCCTTTGGTGGCAAACTATTAAATGTGCGAGAGTGAATTCCAAATTTATAGCAACAAATATTACTATTATACATAGTGTAAAGCGGGTCTTTATAGAGTTATCTGGTTTTTGCCGTGAAGAGTATTGAATATTTAGATTATGTCAAGGATGAATATGTAACAGCTTCAAAATGCCGCAAACGAACAATTTATGCATATATTTACCTGTCTTCTTTCACGAGCTGAAATCGCCTGAACTTGTGGCCCTGAAACAACGCAATCTAGACTAGGTATCGCGCCTTTCTTCAGCCATCTCTTAGTCGTGAATTTTCCGATTCTTGTGGATTAAAATCAAGCCGTTGTTCAAAATCTGTGACCTTGAAATGTGCTGAGCAAAGCACCGAAGTGCTTGATGGCTGCCATTGCGGACGATGTCTTTGGACAAAACAAGCCCATTTTGGTCGGACAGAACTATCGCTAGGGAAGCGATGCATCGAAATTCCTTCTGTTTTCGAATTGTTTTTGCAACTGACTTTTCCAGGTCCGCCTGCAACACAATACTTTCCAAGAGATTTCCCTTTCGCTCGGCTGATTTGAGTCTCGGCCATAACAAATTGACAAATTCACCTTTGGAATGAACGCGCGAGTACAACCAGTGACGTCACGCCATCAATTTGACCGCGCCGTGAGATGGGACAAACAAAGGTCATAGATGGCACACTTTGTAGCTTAAAAAATCGACTTTAAAGAATCGCGGGGCGAAAATAAAATACAGCATGATATTCAGTGTACTTTAAACTATAAAATCAGCACAATTTCAGAAAAAAATTTCAGCCGTTTCATAAACACTTTAAACCTTTTGTACCACTGTCGACAACCAAAATGCTACCTCATCAGTTCGATTATTGCAGCCCGTTATGGGATAATAGTGGAATTGGGCTCAAAGATAGGTTGCAAAAATACCAAAATCGTGCTGCAAGAGTAATTACTGGGGCAACTTACGATATTCGGTCATCTGAGTTACTCGATAATCTAAATTGGAAACCTCTCGAAGAAAGACGAAATTATCTTAAATCTATTTTCATCTATAAAATTCTGAATGGCCACACCGCACCCAGTCTTAAAGAAGCATTTCGATTTAATAATGAAAGACATAATACAATACATACAATCTTAAAAATAGGGATACTGATTTAGCACCACCTATGCCGAAAAAAGAATTCGGCAAGAGGTGCTTCAGTTATAATGGTGCTTTGCATCGGAATAATCTTCCCCATGAGGCAAAAATTGCTATTGAAACAAATCGATATTGAAACAAAGAATGAGTTGAAATTTGCTTGTGTGTAATCGTGCAGCTAAAATCACTTGTATTTTTTTTGTTATATTTTGTATTTCTTGTAAATAGTTAGTTTCTTGTAAATAGGTAATTTCATGCCCCTCATGGAAACCAGCCTTCCATCGGCCGTCGTGGTTTTGTATGTATGTATGTCTTCGCCGATGTTCCTTAATGCTGCTCATATCTTAAACATACTTAATGCTACCCATAAATTTGTACTTTTTCCAGTGTTTCATCAGAAGTTTTTAATTCTTCAATAACATCATTATCCGCAACAAAAAAGCGAGAAGTCATTGTTTTTATTGCTATTTAAAACAAGAAACTTCCCGCGCTTGCGTCTCAGCTAATTTATAGGTACAGTAATTTTGCCCTGAATTTTAAGAAAAAATGCTCTCATCATATTAGGCAATCATATTTGAGTAATTTTGCCCTCTATATGATTATGCAAAAAAGTGCTGAGCTATTAAATTAGCCTAAATTCAAACGCCAAAAGACAAATCTAAAATGGCTTGCGCACAAGTTACTCGAGTTTGAGACTCTAAATAGGAAGTTACCCACTATACCTTGTCCTTGCGCTCTCAATGTTTAAGGTTTAGGATTATTGAAGGACAACTTTTTTGAATTGTAAAATAAACATATGAATAAACGTACCAATTTGCTCTTCAAAGAATAGAATATCTTTTCCATCGATAGTCAAAGCTTTCAAAAAAAGTAACCTATAGAGGAACAAAATCTATTTTCAGCCAATAATTTAAAAAGTGCTTATGAAACGAAATTTTTGCCTCGATTTTTAATGTTTTATTAAAAGGTACTGCTTAAATGATGACGAATGACGTTTACAGTTTGTTCGTATCTCATCTCATTCCCAAGTTATCACACTTTCTTTATTTTGAGTTGTGACGTCACTAGTTTGACTCAAAATAGTGGCAATAACAAGAAAATCTGATATCTTGATGATCATTTAATAAAATTTAATGAAACTTGGCACACTTAGTAGGTGCAACGACGTGAACAATTTGGCTTGTTTATATTGTTGTTATGGCAACACACTCGTCCCCAGTCCCTTCTCTTCCAATTTCTATATGATCTATTTCCAACGAAATAAATAGTAATTTCTGCAATTGTCGCTTATTATTATAATACGTGTAGGTATTGTGATCAGTTTAAACCGTTATAACATGCAAACATCCTCTGCAAAAGGTCTACAGGAGGAAATTTGTGAAAAGGAAGAGAAGAGACTGGGGACTAGTGTGTTGCCATGACAACCACATAACCTGCCAAAAATATTCATATGGGTGTACCCACTAAGTTTACCGAGTTTCATTGAATTTTATTAAATACTCACTAAGATATCAGACTTTCTTGTTATTGCCATTATCTCAAGTCAAACTAGTGACGTCACAACTCAAAATTTAGAAAGTGCGATAACTTGAGAATGAGATGAGATATGAAGAAACTGTAAACGTCATTCTTCATCGCTCTAGCAGTACTTTTTAGCGCAACAATAAAAATGAAGTGAAAATTTCGTTTCATAAGCACTTTAAGAAAATACAATATGTGAGTGGTTCAAGACCAAGTAAACATGAAACGTTACGCACAGCATACGGAAAATGACTTTTTTACTATTTCAAAACCAACATGATGTCAACTAACACATATGTTAAAAAAAATAATTCTCTGTAACACGGAGAATGATTTTTTTAACATGTGTATTAGTTGACATTATGTTGCATGGTTATGAAATAGTAAAAAAGTCATTTCCGTATGCTGTACATAACCGTTTCGTTTTTACTTGAACTACTCACACATAAAACCTTTTACTTTGGAAATGATAGAAGCTGAACTAGTTATTACCGGTGCATCAAATCATCAGGGACATTGTGAGCTTCAATAACCTTGAAGAAGTGTGCTCGCAACAACTTGAGACTTCCATACTAAATAATTGAACCAGAAATTATGATAGAAAGATACAAAACCAAACATATTTATCGGGGTACTTATCTTGGCTGTAGTCTTAAATTTGCAAGGTTGAATGTTTACCAACAGTTGAAGGGTTTTTGTAGGTGGAAATGTCGAGCGAAACCTGTGATTTCAGAGCAGGGCCGCTGGTTCGATTCCTGCCAGAGGGTGACAGTATAGTTTTCGTAGTTGCTCCTTGTTACAGTAAATCTAAAATTGTATATTATAACCTTCCGCTTGGGGTTTCCATCTACGAAACTCTTCAACTGTCAGTTCTATTGAGCAAAGTGCCCAAAAATCTTAATTTTTACTAGACTGTGAGCAGTCCCTCCTTTCTGGGAGTTTAGATTTCCGGGACTGCTCGCGGTCTAAATTTTTACCACCCTAGGTGTGTTAATAACGCACTTACTGTAAGAAGGCTTAATACATAAGTAGTACAGGGCAATTAGTGACAAGAAACAGCCTTAAATTAAAATAACTTAAGTTATTACTGACAACAAAAACTATGAAGTTTCTGTTTAGTGATCATGTTTCTCTGAGTGTGCATCCACACCGCCACCGGCCAAGCTGAAAGTTTGCCTGACCAAAACATCATATTCATTTAAGTACATACACCAACACACACCAAAAAGTTTTATATCTTAGAATTTTTATGTTTTTTATTTGCCCATATAAAGCTAAATATATTTACAATGTACTGTATATTTGTACAAACATTAAGGGCTAGGAACCTTTATGAAATTAACCCTATCAGGCTTTTATTCAAAGGCCCCAAGTTCAAAGGCCCCTAGATACATTGATATTGAAGGAACTAGCTCAGTTGGTAGAGCATTGGACTATTCTAGTATCCCAAAAGTCGCAGATTCAATTCCCACCGTGGTCAGACAAACTTTTCAGCTTGCCCAGTGTGGATGCACACTCAGAGTAACATCACAAACAAATACTATGATCTATTGCTGTTAGGAACCCTGTGCAAGCAAGAAGGAAATACAATGCCCCTCCCCCCTTTTTCAGATGGTTCAATCCCCCCTTTAAATAATGGGGGAAGGCAGGGTTCGAGATTTGCGGTATCCTAGTATCCTGACGATACCAGATTTCAGTTTTGGATACCAAATGTCATAACCTTGGTATCCTAGCTGGATACTAAGTAAATTGTTGATGAAATACCAAAATATGGCTATTAGTTAAAGAATACAAAATATATAAAGTAAAGTATTGTATATACCAAAAGAAACCGAGAACATTCAAGCATTTGTTTATCATAATTTACGAATTTCGAAACGGTAAAAATTAAAAGTAGGATTAAGGTTGTATATACACATAGGCACGTGCCTGCAAATGGCGCGTGTGTCAGGCTATAATTGTCAACATCCATCCAGAAATCCTTATATGGTCGTATTATTTACAAATTGTGCGGCCTCCTGTTTCAGTGTTTGTTGCTTTTTTACCCAAAGGTTTTATACTGTAGTTTTTCCAAAATGTAGTAAAAGTATTAAATTAAATGATGTGGAAATTTGTTGTTCGCAATCCGACCGACAAAGGCGACAATCCTTCAGCTTCTGGGGAAGTTCAAGAGTTTACCGGGTCAACTACATCCTCGACCTCGATACTGCCTACGGATCAAGGCAATCAACGAAATGATGCTATTAATACCGAACAAAGCGAAAGGTCAAATGCGAAACAAAAGCGCAAGTTCAATCCATTGTGGCAAAAAGCATTTCCTTGGGTGAGGTTAGTCAACAAAAAAATGTTTTGCGATGTTTGCACGAAGAATAAACATGCAGATAAATCAAGTGCGTTTGTTAAAGGATGTGATAATTTCCACATCAAATCACTTCGAAAGCACAACACGAGTAGCGGGCATGTTAAATGTGCTGCAAATGTTAAAGCTCTTAGTGCCGAACCGGGCACAAATCCTGCTGAAAGAGCACTACGAGTACTGCACGAAAAGGAGTTCGAGAAAATGCGTGACTGTGATGTTTCGAGTTTCACACTCTTTAGCAAAGAACGGGAGACCGTATTCGGACTACGAGTGGGCCCTAGATCTTCAGGAAACAACGCACAACATAAAACTTGGCGAGACTTACAGAAATGATCGAGCTGGGCGAAAGTTTACAGCTTTTATAGCTGAGGCAGAGCGTCTTAAACTAGCTTCGGAATTGTCAACTACTCCTTTTTACAGTATCCTGACAGATGGTACTACGGACACGTCTGTTTGCGAAGCCGAGATCTTGTATGTAAGGCATTGTAATAAAGGAAAGATAAGTAATCGATTCTTGGCTCTACGTAATCTTGAACGAGCAAATGCCGAGAATATCACGAAAGTAATTGAAGAAACCGTAAAGGATTTTGGTGGTGTGTCCGAAGAAGATCTATACAAGAAGGCTGTCGGATATGGAGCAGATGGGGCTAGCGTCAATATGGGATGTCATTCGGGAGTTGGCGAACGTCTTAAACAATTATCTTCAATATCTTGATTCAACAACTTGATTCTGAATATCAGGTGAACGGGTGGTGTCACATAACTTTTTTTAATTTACTGGACCATCCACATACAGTGTCAAAGTTGGATACCACATGTTGACTTTGGATACCAACATAGAAATGGGCTATTCCATTTAATATCCGTACCCCCCTGTCGAGGATACATGTTTTTCATTGTCATACCCCTGAAGAATTCCAAGCTCAAAACTGTTTACCCCTGAAGAATTCCAAAATTCCAAGCTCAAAACTCTTTACCCCTGAAGAATTCCAAGCTCAAAACCTTTTACCCCTGAAGAATTCCAAAATTCCAAGCTCAAAACCCTTTATCCCTGAAGAATTCCAAGCTCAAAACCTTTTACCCCTGAAGAATTCCAAGCTCAAAACCTTTCACCCCTAAAGAATTCCAAGCTCAAAACCCTTTACCCCGGAAGAATTTCAAGCTCGAAACCTTTTACCCCAGAAGAATTCCAAGCTCAAAATCCTTCACCCCTGAAGAATTCCAAGCTCTGAAAAATTTCAATCTCAAACCTCTTTACCCCTGAAGAATTCCAAGCTCAAAACCCTTTACCCCTGAAGAATTCCAAGCTCAAAACCATTTACCCCTGAAGAATTCCAAGCTCAAAACCCTTTACCCCTGAAGAATTCCAAGCTCAAAACACTTTACCCCTGAAGAATTCCAAGCTCAAAACCCTTTACCCCTGAAGAATTCCAGGGATCCTCGACAGGGGGGGTACGGATATTAAATGGAATAGCCCAATGCTGGTATCCATGATGGATACCTACAAAAAAATCTAATCTCAAACCCTGCAGGCTACCAATCTTCTAAACATTCTAACTCTGAATTTTTTGAAAATTTCCTGTGGTCCCCCTCCTCAGTGCGCATCCTAGATCTTGATTTTTGCCTGTGGTCTCCCTTTGCATTTGATCCAAATTTTTCAAAACTGTTTTTTATCAATTGAATGTGATTATTTTGATGAGAGAACATTCTTGTGCTGCCCCAGGGTGCATTTTAAGTGCAATACGCCGAAGATCTTTGAAACAATTATTCCCCTAAGGGTATGCGATTACCTGTGAATATTGGTTCGGTGACTTTCGTAATAAGAGACTTTTTGTTTGACTTCCATTTAAGAATACTAAAGGTCTATAAACATTGTTATTTGTTGTTAAGTTGTTTTGTTACATTTTTAAAACTGTTTTTTCAAACTGGTAAATCTTTTCAAAGACCCCCATCTTTCGTCTCTCTGTAAGTTTTCAAAGCCCCCCTTTCAGTATTTCACATTTCACGCCAACAAATATCAAATTGACCATTCACCATGCAGTGGTGTAATGGAGGAAGAGGGGGCCTTTAGGCATGTTTGGTGTGGGGGCCCCTGTTGACTGTTATTGTTTGACTGAGATCCTATATTTATGTTGAATATTTATCAGTAGAATGGAAAGTTCCATGTCTGTAACAATGATAATAACAGTCTCCAACACATGAACAACTTTTAAGAATAACTTTTGTTCTATTTGAGATGGAATACCGTCGTCGATGGAGGGTTTATTATTTAGCATTGTTAATTTTGTATTTTTCCATTGATTCGTAAACCTGCATTTTGTACGTTTTCAGTCTAATTTTCTGGGCGATAGGCCGTGGCTGATGGGGGCCCCTAACTGTCGGGGCCCTTAGTTTTTGAACTAACCCTACCCAGTGAGCGTTACGCCACTGTCACCACGGCTCACGAAAATACCCTTTCCCACCCTCATGTATGTATGTTGACCGAGCCAGAACAAGCCTGGTTACATGAAGTAACGATATTGGGTTGTGCCAGAAAAGATCCATACTCCACCCACAGAGGAAATTTCTGCCGTCCGGAGGGGGAGGGGAGAAAAAATTGTTTCTGATGATAGTAAATGTATTAGGACATCCGAAGGGGGTAGGGGGGTTAACTTCCTATTTCCTCCGTGGGGGTGGTATGGATGTTTTCTGGAATGACCCATTGCTTTATCCAGTGCTGTATAGGTCAGTGGCTCAGACAACTTCGGATTGTCCCGATGTTCGCCCGAAGAGCATATTCTTATTTAATACTGTATTTTTGTTTTTCAAAATGTTTAGTGAGCAAAAACTGCTGTGTCACAGTCGTGGTTGGGTCAAACAATATGCGGAAAGCAAAAATAGCGAAGGAAAGAGATTAAAATTATATTGGATTTAGTTTTACTACCAAATATGGTAGTCCCTTCGTCCATGACCTTGTGACGTCAGGTACATACGGGACTTCGAGGGAGTTTTTGGCGGGAAAATTTGTAAGGTTTGGAGAAGACAAGATGGCGCTGGTTACTTCGTGTCATCAAAGGGCATTTTTGTTCACAAATACCCGCTTATTTTACGTTATAACGACTGGTTATTTTTGAAATTATAACTCCAAAAAGACGTGCATCTATTGTGATGTTATTTGTTGTGAAAGACGGCCCGAAATTTCGCTACATCGCTGAGCGCCCTGAGCCTGTACTGATTTATAAAAAAATTACAAGCAACAGCAATTGCAACTATATGACGAAAAAACCAAATACCAATGTGAATCAAGTCCAACGTATTGTCATCTTTGGATGTGTGAAATAAGTTCAGTTGGATTTGCAGATGAAGCACTATAAAAGCACATGGAAGGTCAGTTTTAATTAGTTTTATATTAAGTATATTATTGTATACTATTATACAAGAATGATTTGAAAATTTTCCTTCAATGGTTGCTTTTTATTGGTCGAAAGTTTAATATTGTTTTGACGAGAGAAATGTTTCTCAACAATTTTCAGGATGTTTAGAAATTTTTTGGGCTTGGTTTGAAATTCAAACCAAGCCAGGTTTGAATTTTCAAATTCAAACCAAGCCCAAAAATCTACAAAAACCTGTTCTGCTCCCCTACTCTCTACTAATAAACATAAAAGGGCTGGGTGGGTGGGATACTGTTGAGCCACGCTGAGCAACAACAATAGTGATGGGCGATTACCGATTACTTGGTATCGATACCACCCGATACCAGGCCCAAATCGGAAGTAGTCGATAATACTGCACGGTATCGAAAAAGAGTTTTGATTACTTTTAAAATTAGACATTCATTATAATTCTGTACTTGTGCCATCGTTTTCATGGCTATTTCTAATAAAATGTAGGTACATTTTGTATTTTGCTGCATTTACCAATTTAATCAAACTTTCCTTTACTTTATTTGACATTCTATCCACTTCCCTGATTAATATTCCGGACCTCGTCGACAGAATAAATTATGAAAAAGGCGGGAAATAACTTATAATGGAGGAAAATTCTGAAATACAATCGTCGTCGTAGTAATCATTTGGGTAATCGATACCTCGATACTTTTACAAAAAAGTAATCGGTATCGAATCGATACTGGTGGTATCGCCCATCACTAAACAACAAAAATATGCTCAAATAACCTGCACCACCCCATAACACCCTGATTTCATCAGGCCCCCAGCAGTGTGTGAGAAAACATTTTCCGCTTCTTTCGTGCCTCAAACAGCGGAAAATAACACTTTTTTCTGTCAACACTATTATTTTTTCAACGTGATTGACCATGCGACCTTATTTTCTCCGTGGTTGCGGGTTGCTGCCAAAATGGCGTCTGTTGTCACACTAATTATTGAAAAAACCATGAAAAAATATTTTTTAAAAAAATTTCCGACCCAAATTTTTTGCGATATGAAACCGGAACCACAGGTATTTTATTTTATGCCTTTGGGTGCGAAATGATCGGATACCAATCTTCTAAACATTCTAACTCTGAATTTTTTTAAAATTTCCTGTGGTCCCCCTCCTCAGTGCGCATCCTAGATCTTGATTTTTGCCTGTGGTCTCCCTTTGCATTTGATCCAAATTTTTCAAAACTGTTTTTTATCAATTGAATGTGATTATTTTGATGAGAGAACATTCTTGTGCTGCCCCAGGGTGCATTTTAAGTGCAATACGCCGAAGATCTTTGAAACAATTATTCCCCTAAGGGAAAGTGATTACCTGTGAATATTGGTTCGGTGACTTTCGTAATAAGAGACTTTTTGTTTGACTTCCATTTAAGAATATTAAAGGTCTATAAACATTGTTATTTGTTGTTAAGTTGTTTTGTTACATTTTTAAAACTGTTTTTTCAAACTGGTAAATCTTTTCAAAGACCCCCATCTTTCGTCTCTCTGTAAGTTTTCAAAGCCCCCCTTTCAGTATTTCACATTTCACGCCAACAAATATCAAATTGACCATTCACCACGCAGTGGTGTAATGGTGGAAGAGGGGGCCTTTAGGCATGTTTGGTGTGGGGGCCCCTGTTGACTGTTATTGTTTGACTGAGATCCTATATTTATGTTGAATATTTATCAGTAGAATGGAAAGTTCCATGTCTGTAACAATGATAATAACAGTCTCCAACACATGAACAACTTTTAAGAATAACTTTTGTTCTATTTGAGATGGAATACTGTCGTCGATGGAGGGTTTATTATTTAGCATTGTTAATTTTGTATTTTTCCATTGATTCGTAAACCTGCATTTTGTACGTTTTCAGTCTAATTTTCTGGGCAATAGGCCGTGGCTGATGGGGGCCCCTAACTGTCGGGACCTTAGTTTTTGAACTAACCCTACCTAGTGAGCGTTACGCCACTGTCACCACGGCTCACGAAAATACCCTTTCCCACCCTCATGTATGTATGTTGACCGAGCCAGAACAAGCCTGGTTACATGAAGTAACGATATTGCTTTATCCAGTGCTGTATACTGGTCAGTGGCTCAGACAACTTCGGATTGTCCCGATGTTCGCCCGAAGAGCATATTCTTATTTAATACTGTATTTTTGTTTTTCAAAATGTTTAGTGAGCAAAAATTGTTGTGTCACAGTCGTGGTTGGGTCAAACAATATGCGGAAAGCAAAAATAGCGAAGGAAAGAGATTAAAATTATATTGGATTTAGTTTTACTACCAAATATGGTAGTCCCCTCGTCCATGACCTTGTGACGTCAAGTACATACGGGACTTCGAGGGAGTTTTTGGCGGGAAAATTTGTAAGGTTTGCAGAAGACAAGATGGCGCTGGTTACTTCGTGTCATCAAAGGGCATTTTTGTTCACAAATACCCGCTTATTTTACGTTATAACGACTGGTTATTTTTGAAATTATAACTCCAAAAAGACGTGCATCTATTGTGATGTTATTTGTTGTGAAAGACGGCCCGAAATTTCGCTACATCGCTGAGCGCCCTGAGCCTGTACTGATTTATAAAAAAATTACAAGCAACAGCAATTGCAACTATATGACGAAAAAACCAAATACCAATGTGTACAAGCCAATCAAGTCCAACGTATTGTCATCTTTGGATGTGTGAAATAAGTTCAGTTGGATTTGCAGATGAAGCACTAAAGCACATGGAAGGTCAGTTTTAATTAGTTTTATATTAATTAAGTATATTATTGTATACTATTATACAAGAATGATTTGAAATTTTTCCTTCAATGTTGCTTTTTATTGGTCGAAAGTTTAATATTGTTTTGACGAGAGAAATGTTTCTCAACAATTTTCAGGATGTTTAGAAAATTTTTGGGCTTGGTTTGAAATTCAAACCAAGCCAGGTTTGAATTTTGAAATTCAAACCTCGATTGGGCCATTGCATTTTTTATCTGCAACCCCCCCATTGAGGACATGTGGAATTTCCAATGACCCCCTGCAAAAGTGAACCAAAAATGAAGGAATTTCCATGGGAGGGTCCAAATTTTAAAGCAAACCTGCGGAAATTCCAAAGGGTAGGTAAGAAAAATGAGTAAAACGTATGGAATTTCCATGGGAGGGTCAACAATAGAAAAGAAATTCCAAAGGATAGGATCAAAATCAGCAAGGAATTTTCCAAGGGATAGCTACTAATCAAAGAGTCAATACGGAATTTCCACTGGCTAGACCAAAAACTGTCAAGGACTTTCCATGGGATGGGTTAAAAGTTCATAAAAAATTTGCGGAAATTCCATGGGGATGGCTAAAATTCAATAAAAATCTGCGGAAATTCCACAGGGGAGGCTCAAAATTCGCTTAAAATATGTGGAAATTCCAGGGGAGGGGGACCAAAAAATGGATGTCCTCAATAGGGGGGTGGGGGTTGGTTTAAAAATGCAATGGCCCATTCAAACCAAGCCCAAAAATCTACAAAAACCCGTTCTGCTCCCCTACTCTCTACTAATAAACATAAAAGGGCTGGGTGGGTGGGATACTGTTGAGCCACGCTGAGCAACAGCAAAAATATGCTCAAATAACCTGCACCACCCCATAACACCCTGATTTCATCAGGCCCCCAGCAGTGTGTGAGAAAACATTTTCCGCTTCTTTCGTGCCTCAAACAGCGGAAAATAACACTTTTTTCTGTCGACACTATTATTTTTTCAACGTGATTGACCATGCGACCTTATTTTCTCCGGGTGGTTGCGGGCTGCTGCCAAAATGGTGTCTGTTGTCACACTAATTATTGAAAAAACCATGGAAAAATATTTTAAAAAAAAATTTCCAACCCACCGACCCAAATTTTTTGTGACATGAAACCTGAACCACAGGTATTTTATTTTATGCCTTTGGGTGCGAAATGATCGGATACCAATCTTCTAAACATTCTAACTCTGAATTTTTGGAAAATTTCCTGTGGTCCCCCTCCTCAGTGCTCAGCCTAGATCTTGATTTTTGCCTGTGGTCTCCCTTTGCATTTGATCCAAATTTTTCAAAACTGTTTTTTATCAATTGAATGTGATTATTTTGATGAGAGAACATTCTTGTGCTGCCCCAGGGTGCATTTTAAGTGCAATACGCCGAAGATCTTTGAAACAATTATTCCCCTAAGGGAAAGTGATTACCTGTGAATATTATACCTCAAATTCAAATTGCCCAATGAGAAAACATTTGCACCACATGACAGTGTGATTTTTTACAGTATTTCACTCAAATTCATGATTTTGCAATGCAGCGCGAGATATAGAGAATATTAATTAATACATTGTGTGCAGAAATACCAGATTTATTTCGAGTGTTGAAGATGATAACATATATACATATTGTTTATAGACCCTCCGCTCGGGGATTTGGAGAAATATTACCCTCAGTGACAGTGATGATATTTCCTCGGGAAATGGGTAATATTCCACCGAATTCGGGTAATATTCCGCCGAATCCCCCTCGCTCCAGGTCTATAAATGATAAATATTCACAGAGACAAAGTCGAGTCACTGAGCCTGGGGCGAATAATTGTTTTAGTATAAATGTTTAATTAATGAATAAAACAATATATCCAAATATCAGTTCAATTAAAATTCAGAAATAAAACTTTTTTCGGCCTATAATTGTGACTAAAGCCGGTTTTCCATTTCAAGTGTACCAACACATATCAAAAAGTTCTTGAATTTCTTGAATGTTGATTGGTTAGTACTTCCAAAGTATGCCAAAAAGTTGACTTGCAACAAACTTTTTATTTTGATATGCAAATCCACCCGGAAGTACATGGATTTATAAACCTCTTTTCAATCTGCACATGCTCACCAGTATGTTTCAGTATGATACGGACAAAGTGGAAAACCAGCTTAATAATATAGTGCAGCCCTTCAGGTATCCGTTTGAAGTCCTGGCTAATAATAATTTGGGTATGGCCAATACTGTTTTGCTCTACTGAGGGTCTGGCTATTAATTGATGAGCGTAGCGAGTATGCAAAGAATGGGAGGTCGAAGCTTCAAGAGCGCTGTGAGTTGAGTAGTGGGCAAAGGCTTGCAAGCTTTGTCTATTTGGTATATTGTCTGAGTGCAAGACTGGGCTAAAAATTTCAGCTTGTCATGACTGCAAGTACCGGCGAATTACACACAACCTCTGGCGAATGGCTGTCAAACGAATGGCTGTCTTCTTAGCGCTGGTGAAATTCGCCATTCGCCGGCCTAAAATAAGATGGGTGATATAGTGTTGCAGAATGTTGCAGTATTTCTTGTGTGCATATGCTTTCAAAATGGCTTTTTTGTTACTTTATTACAAAGTAATAAAGTTCTGTTTAGAATACAAACACAAAAACGGAATAACGTTTTCAACAGACTTAGAATTAAAACATAGTTTCTGTTTAGAAATGGCTGAGAAATTTGGTAAAATAAAATGTAAAACTATATTGTTTGAAATAAAGCTTTAATAACACTTTTAACTTTACAAGTTTTGAAAACACAATGCAGTGGTCAGAACAACATACAGCACAATGAAAACATGACATCAAAAGAAATAGTATCGTACAAATTGAGAAATCTGTAGGATACAAAAAAATGGATTTAAAAGAATATCATGGCAAGGTTTTTCCCATTAGTCGGGATAGTTTTTGTTATTTGTTTTTGCTGAGTAAATGTTTCAAAGTTTTAAATAAGTTTTATATTGTCTGTGAATATGTTTGACACAGTAAAATATAGGAATACTACCTTTCAAGATGAATACAACATTTTCAAGATAAATACAACATTTTGTGCTTCTTTCGTTTTCTGGGGACGATTTTTTCAATATTTTGAAAACAAATTTGCCGAATCATTATTTTTGAAAAGCATTTACTAGTCTGCTAGCCAATCAGAATGTGCGAAAGCTCATTTCATATGCAAAATTTATACCACAGATGAACTAATGGCGTATAGTTTACATGGAATGCACCCTGGGTGCTGCCCCCTCAGCCTAGGGTTGCTGTGGTCCCTTTGCATTTTATTATACAAATTTTTAAAACATGTTTTTATCGACTGGAAGTAATTGTTTTGATGAGAGAAATGTTTCTTGACAATTTTCAGAAAGTTTGTAAGATTTTGGGGCGGCAGGTACAAAACGCAGGTTGCAGGTTGCAGGTTGGAATTTTGCAGGTTGGGAATTTTGCAGGTTGGAATTTTGCAGGTTGGGGATTTTGCAGGTTGGAATTTTGCAGGTTGCCAGGAATTTTGCAGGTTGATGATGCAAACTTAAAATTACACCACTATAAAGTATTCTAGTATAATTTAATTGTGTACTTATTGCAGTCTGACTCCTTGTCGGCACTTTTGATATCAGCCCATCCTGCTACAATGTTCCTAGCTTTTGCTCTAAGGAGTGGCCATCACCCTTGTGAAAACATTCAAAATGACCAGATTGGCTTGGACCTTCAGGGGGACGGATGTTTCGATTGTTGCGAGGAGCCTACATGACGTGGTGGCAGTTCAGAAAATGCCTGAATGAGGTGTCTCTCCTCTGCACCCACTTATGAGAAGACCACTCAAGCCCCCAATTACCGTATCATTACTCGAGAGTTAGTTAACTTTTAACAACATTCTAGTATAAACGCTGCCACGTCATGTAGGCACCTCGCAACAATCAAAACATTTGTCTCCCTGTAGGTCCAAGCCAATCTGGTCATTTTGAATGTTTTTATGGGGGTGATGGCCACTAGCCTTAAAGCAGAGGCTAGGAACATGGCAGCAGGGTAGGCTGATATCAAAAGTGCCGACAAGGAGTCAGACTGCAATAAATGCATAACTAAGTTATTCCTAAAAATTATACTAAAAAAGTGGTGTAATTTTAAGTTTGCATTATCAACCTGCAAAGTTCCTGGCAACCTGCAAAAT